GATGCCATGATATGCCAAGCAACTTCTCAAGATGAAGCTGGAGGAAGACAAAGAGTGAAACTGACTGAGACAGTTGAGTCTGAATTCACACTTACCTTGTGGCAATAAAGGTGGCAAAGTGTTCTTACTTCTCCACCCTTATTGCATCTGCAGATAACCAGACAACCTTCTTGTTTCAGTGATCAGGTTCCTTCTGGGTAAGGAGGATCTGGCGAGCTTCTAGTGAGGAATATTCTCAACATCTGCTTGACTTTGTCAGAGTTGGCCTCTGGTTGAGCAGATCCTTTGGAAATGAGTCCTGTTTTCTGGGATGAGCTTGCCAGTTGATCTCAAGGTTGAGGATGTGGATGTGAGCTCATCTATTGCATGAGCTGCACTGAGTCCCCAGTTTCCTTATGGGTGCAATTCAAGAAGCTGATTATCATGCTTCTTGGCTTCTTGGAGTCGTGCTGGTGCAGTGGTTAGAATTCTGCCAACTGTCAGCCAACTACCAACAGTTTGATCGTCACTATCTCAAGGTTGACTCAGCCTTTCATTCTTCCAAGGTTAGTAAAAGGAAGATCCAGATTGTTGGGGGCAATATGCTGATTCTGTAAACCACTTAGAGAGGGATGCAAGCACTGTGAAGTGCTGTAGAAGACTAAGTGCTATTATTATTGTAATTATCATAGTAATTATCATGGCACATGATGTCGTTACTTGTGGGACTACCTCTCTTCAAAAATATCTGCCTCTCCCAATAGATTGGATAGGGTAGGCATGCTCTAGAGACCTTCTCTGAAATTCTGCCATCTATTGGGACCTTTTTCATGGCTGCCCCTACATTGTGGAATACTCTCCCTCTTCAACGATTCAGGACCTCCCTCCCTTTAGCCTTTTGAAAGGCTATCAAAACCTGGCTTTTTACCAAAGGGCTGGGATAAGATAGAAAGAATGGAATGAAGATAATTGAGACTTGCTGTAGAGGATACTAAGGGGATGATTAAGGTCAGGGATTTTGTTCTTATTTGTTTTACTGTTTTATTATTGTATGGTTATGCTTTATAGTTACTGGTTTTACTGCTGTTGTAAACTACCCAGAGTTGTTTAAAATGAGTAGCCATACAAATCAACCAGACAGACAGATAGACAGACACCCTGTTTCCCTGAAAATAAGAACTCTCCGAATAATAAGCCCTCCTCAAAAATATTGCAACACAGCAGAAGCCATGAGGTGACCATGCTCGCCGCCTCCTACCCCTCATAAATAATAAGGCCTTCCTGAAAATAAGGCCAAGTGCTTATTTCTGGAGTCAAAAGAAAATAAGATCCTGTCTTATTTTTGGGAAAACATGATAGATAGTTAACGTATGATATAAGATAAACAAAAACAATAATGACTATGGGTACTCTATGCTTAGACAATTTCTAAAAGATGTTAATGAAGCAATTAGGGACTTGGAACACATTTTATCTAACAAGACAAAGTACCAAATGTAGAACTACAAATGACAGGCCAAGATAATGATTTCAAAAAGGATGCTTTACCAGATATATAAAAGAAACTGGATGAAATTTTAAAAATTAAAAGGGAAATACAAATGACAAACCAGTAGAATGACTTGGAAAATAATCCTTATTGGATCTATAGAAGAAGCTTGTTAAAACCTCGAACAAATCTGTGCAATGGGATAAAGAAGAACTGAAATCAAATCCTATGAAATTATTGAATTAAAGATTCAGACTGTTAGAAGGAAAGGAGAAATATAAAATTGGTTTATTTAATCAAAACTGAAATAAGCCTTTTTTTTCTGCAATGTTCTGACAACTGTTTGATTTTTTGCTGATACCAGAATTGGAAACTTAATGTTTTATGGATTTTCTTATAGATAAGGGATGGGATATGGAATGAAGAATTAGTTAATAACTAGTGGACTCTAAATGAGCCTTGTTGCCCAAATAGCTATTAATAATGTAGTCTTGGACCCTACCATAATCTTATGGGTTATTTTTTGAACTATGTTGCTCTTCTCCTACTTAAACTTAAGAGCTCTAAGCCTGCAATTCTCCATTGGTAGTTTTACCACAAATAACAACTGCATGTTTAAACTATATCAAAACTGTAACATATTTATGAATAAACAAAAATCTTTTAATTTAAACCAAAAGCAAACAACTTACACACACAAAAGAAATATTTGTTAAAGATAATTAGGCAATTCTTTAAAAAAGGAACTTGCTTTGCACAGATCCTGAAACATACAGAAATATTTTACAGAAAAAATGTCTCTAGTATTTCAAGTTTATATTTTTACACAAATCTACACTTGAGTCAGATGGATAATCTATCATGTGAGGGCAAACTTTGAGGCAGTAGAAATAAATTTAACCCTCTTCAAACTCTCACCTATTTTTTTTAAACAATCCTCGCAGTCCACAAATACAAAACATCTGTTTCACAAGACTGAACTCCAATATATTGTAATTAACACTCCATACAGTAATGCACATAATACCACTTAAGTGTCAAATGACCTTGTTCTTACACTGGTAAAATTCCCCATACAAAATTGCTGCATTGACATTAGAAAAGAATACTAAAAATGATCAGTCTACATCCAGGATGAGCAAACATTTAAAAATCTGTTCCATGCTTTCCCCTGTCTAAAAAACATGGGAGGTAGAGGGTAAATATTCTCACCTGCAAAACAGACATTTTCAGGGGAATTAACAGGATTGCTTCCACACTTTATTCACCTTGCTACAGAATTCAAAACTGGTATAAAATACAACCCAACAGTTGCCTCAATCTGCAACTACTGAGGAGTCCAGTGTATTTAGAGGGGTCCAGGATGAGTCCAGTGTACTTAGAGCTAACTTGCTTCCTTATTTAGATAACCCCTGTGTTGCCTTCTGTTTCAGACACTGCTAGGGAAGGCACTATGTTTATATGCTTCAGAATTTCAAGAGTAAGGTTCCAGGGGAAGTGTCTGCCTTAAAGCGCTGCTCCCCAAAGATATTGTGTTAAAGTTGTGAAATGACAGACCATTCTAAACATTTGCAAAGCTGTAGGCTCAATATTATTCATTCTTGGAAAAAGAAAGAAAAGTGCTGGAGGAACGATTTGAAAATAAATAAGGGACAAGGTCATTTTATAGCAAGTTTAAGACAGACATGATGCCATTTAGTGTTAAGTGAATGAGAATGCCTGTCCTTTAGTCACTATGAAAGAAGAAAGATCAGACTTCATTCTTTCAGAAAGTTCCAGTTCAGTCAGTATCTAATGCCTCTGGAGGTTGCAGATACATATGACCCAAGTTGACAGAACCATCTTACGTATGTTTCTAGAAATAAGAATCCAGACACTTTACAATATTCATAATATAGAAAGAATTTGTAGGAATCCAGATTTTGATTGTCTTCAGCCACAAAATGAAAGGTAAACATTAAAAAGCAGCTAAAAGATGATGAAAATTTCTCTCACATTCACATCTTGGGAAAGAACCCTGTCCGATTTCAAGCAGTGTGCGCAGGGCAATGTCGCCCTTCATCCTTTCCTAATCAAGAAAGAATTACTAGGAAAAAGGTTGCACTGAAATACTAGATTCCGGTTCAGAATCAGCAGGTAGAGGTGCGTTTCCTGTATCGCTGGATAAGGGGCACGAGGCATTCTGGAAGTCCAGTTTGAAGCAAAAAAGGGTGATCCAGGAGTTCTTGTGCTGTTGCTCGCTCTAAAGGATCTCGTGTTAACATTCGCTCCAAGAAATCCCTTAAAACTGGAGAAGTCTGTGGAAACAAAATTTGATACTATTAGACATTTCAGGTAGATAGTTTCAATAATACAAAGTACTTCTAAAATTTTAAATTAAAGTTGCAATTTCTCCTAGATGTAATCCAAAGTTCTTTTTCAAAAACTTCCACGGTTCAGAACAAACAACAAAGCATTGAACGGCAACAATAAGACTGTTATTATAGTTCCTTTTTTCTTTTTTCCTGAATTCAAAAGTTCTGTGCAATGGTAATTGTTCTTGGAATCTACATGCTCCAAGTGACAGAATGTTGAGGCTGAAACTGAGGCTGAAGTCTTACTTTGATTACTCTGTCATCACACACATACAGGTCTCTCTTTCAGATCTTACATTTTTACAGTGAGGCTTAGGAACATGAGAAGGTCTGGTTACATAACACAGTCATATAAATATTTTCCCCAAATAATTCAAATCCTGTCTTGGTTACAAGACGTCATGAAAGATTTAGAAAAGCACTCTTGCCAATATGACTTTATAAATAAAAATGCTATAGAAGTACTATGTTTCCCGAGAATACAAACTACCCCAAAAGTAAGTCCTAGCTTGATTTCTTACATGTGCACCCAATATAAGCCCTACCCCCAATAAACCTTAATTAAGACCCCACCCACTCCAGGGTGCCTGGGGTGGAGCAAGGTGAATGGGTAAATATTAAGCTAAGATGGGGATGGGGAGGTGGAACTGCCCCACTAACCAGGCCACGCAGACTCCAACACCTGCCTTGCTGGCCCACTTTTTCTGTAGCCGCTTGCCACCACTTGCATTGCCCCTGGCCTCTGTTTCGCCTTCAGAGGCCCTTCTGAAAAGTCCTCTGCAGCCAATAACAGAGTTTTGGATCGAGGCCGGGGGCAACACGTATGTCAATCTGGAACCCATTTTTCAGCTGAAGAGGCCTTTCCTTTCCTGAAGGCCTCTGATAGTGAAACAGAGGCTTGGAGCAACACGCACAAGCGGCCGCAGAAGGTGGACCAGCAGCGGGCTTCTGCTGGGCGGGGCTGTCAGTGCCGCCGCCGGAAGGTGAGCCAGTGGAATACCCCTCCCCAAATAAGGCCTGGTGCCTTTTTTTGGTGGCAACAAAAAATATAAGACTGGGTCTTATTTGGGGGAAAATATAGTATTATGATGTACAAATGAGATAAAGATAAATGTTTTCCTCTTAGTCTTTGGCAAAGAATGACAAACACACCCAACTATTAGATAGTAAGACTAATCCATTAAACCCCACCAGTCATTTTTAAATAACATTGTGGGGATGTTTTATGGCAGAGCTCAAGGAACCTGGAAATTTCACTGATAATATTAGTCACTGCATACAAGACAGATTCCAGCAATGTCTGAAAGGATTTATGTCTGATGTTACTATAGGTAATAGAAAGGAAAGGATAAAACACAGAATGTTGGAGCTTTTCAAACAACTATATAGATCCTCCTATATATTAGTAGAGGGATTTATTTATATGACTATATCCTTTTAGAAAGCAGTTTTAAAACAGAAAGGATCAATTCTGATATATGATATAAATTTTATTTCATATTTCCAAATAACTCAAATCTGTGCCACAGTACATGTTAACACATGTACACATGTAACATCTTTAAGGCGACACAAATCTATCATTTGAGACTAAAATGTGATATAAATATATAATTATTACTCTGAAGGACCTTTTAAAGTGCCAAAGGCATTATATCTTTGCATATTGTATTGTAAATACAATAAATTATAGAAAGAATATTACACTCTTTCTTTGAGGCCATCTATAATGCTTGCTTTCTGAAGGAAAGACCCTAGTGCTGCCACTAGAATAATTTTCGGGCTCTTCCATTTTCTCTTTTTAACAGAATTTTATACAAAGAACCAGGAAAACAGAAAAAGTTAGAGATAAAACATGGAGAGGTTACAATGTTATATGGACTTCTTTAAAATTGTGACATACTTTCTCAGAATTATAGTTGTAATTCTAAAATACAGAGATTCTATGGAGAATATATTTAACAAGTTATAGATCTCTGTAGAATATAAGAAGTTCTTGTATTCTTCTTTGCTTATACTGTATGCTTATCTTTCCATTTCCTGTACATGTCTCTTTTTTACAGCATTTTAGAAAGCTCATGTAAAAAGAGTCATGTATAGGAAATGGAAGGAGCAGCATAAAACCAAAGAAGAATACAAGAACAAACTGAAGGAATTGTGCCAGGAGAGCTAAAGAAGAGAATCAGCTGAAAGGCTTGTGGGAAATGATTAAAATAACAAAAGAGGCTGTAGGAATATTTCAGAACATTAAAATTCGTATTTTACATCTGTCTTCCCTATAAAGAAAAAGAAACTCCTTGCTAGCCATCATTTGCCACTGATGGAAAGACAAGTAGACAAGCAAAACTGATGACAGAACTGCTAACTATAATATCTGAAAGTCCTGGAGAAACGGAAAAGTCCCAAAAGATTGAGGAGGGCAAATACTGTTCTTATCTTCATAAAAAGAAAGAAGAGTATCCATGAATTTAGACTTGTCATTTTGGTGCCCCTATGAATAGTGTTGTAAAGTACATTTTTAAACATCATATTTATGAGCACTTGGATAGGAATGCAACACTTAATAAGAGTCAACACTTTTCACAAACAAATCATACCAGTTAAGTCTTATATTTGACAGACTTACTAACTTAATTAACAGGGGGGTAGACAAAGTAAAACAGTAAAGCATTCATCTATGGTTCTCATGAGATCTTCATTAATAAAATGGCAAAATGAAGGCTAGGTGCTTGAAGGATTCATAATAGGATGAATGACTGAGAATATTTATTCATGTTCCCACATCAGCTTTGAGAATATTCTCAATTGGAACACCACAAGTACTCGCTTGGATTTTGATTAATAACTTAGATGAAAATCATGATGTTGCATGTACCCTTTAACTTAAGGTCTCTAGACAAAGGCTGAACAGCCATCTGTTCTCATATTCAAGCACATTGTGCACCACAGATCTGTAAAATCCAGGATTTGATTTATAATTTATTTTTACAGGTTTCTTTGTTAGGAAAAAAAGTATCTTGCATTCACCACTAGATGCCAGCAACAGTCTGCAGGAGTGATGGTTAAGCTAAATTCTGCCATCTCTAGTATTTGAACAGACCTTAGATCTATGTGATTTTTCTCATAGGCAGAAGAGAATTACCATATGTATCATCTCATTGTATCTGATGTGCAACTATATTTTAGCTCAGAGGAACTTTCCAGATGAGATAAAGCTGGAGAGAATTGCTAACACTTTGGAAAACAGTCGATTCAGGATCTTGATATTGGGCCCTATCAACAAGATGCAGTTTAGTGGTGAGAAAAATAAGGCCCTGCATTTCGATAGGAAAAAAAAAAACAGATGCCCAGGTACAGGATAGGAAGTACCTGGCTCAACAATAACACCTATGAAAGAGATCTACCAGTAGGTGTCCGTGTGGACCGCTGCTTAAGCTGCCAAAAATTGAATTGAATTGAATTGTTTATTATTTATAGGCCGCCCTTTTCCCTGAGGGGACTCAGGGC